ATAACGTGTTTACAACCAGTTTAATTTCTTATTTCTAAGGCCATGTCCACACGTACACAGGTATTTTTAGAAACTGAGTTTTTCCTTCTTCCGTTTAAAAAAAAAAATCTGTCCACATGAAATTGCTTTCAGTTTCGTTTGTCGTTTGATGTTTCTCATATGCAACAGAAATTGCAGTGCTAATGAGCTGACCAACGCGGTGGTCGACCGCACACAAAATTTTGTCGCACAATCAGAAAAAATGGTCGCAGTAAACAGCAAAGATAAGTTTTTCAAAAATGAAAACAAAAAGAAAGGTAAAACTAACGGTGACAGTGCTTGCATGTTTTTTTTACTCACAAGAATACCAGCATGTTCACCTTCTAATTAATCGCAATAACCGTGACTATTTTTAGACAATTAATCGTCAGCCAAATTTCATAATCGTGACAGCCCTAGGTAGCATATCAGTTTATTTAGTTTTAGATTATTATTATATATTATATTATTTTTATATATATATCTTTTTTTTATTTTATTTTATATTAAATAGATTGCTTTAGAAAGTTTTAGATTATTATTATATATTATATTATTTTTATTTATATATATATATTTTTTTTATTTTATTTTATATTAATAAATAGATTGCTTTAGAAATGGCCCTGTGTCCAATGAGATCCACTGGTGCTCTTGTCTTTCTTTTCAAGGTCTACATGTCATACTTGATTGTACACATAAATGCAATTTCATTTCTATTAGCTGGTCCTTCAAAGAGTCCAAATATAATTATAAGTTGTCTGACAGGTTTGACTTTGATCAGTGTTATGTCATTGATGTTTTGATGAGCCAGAGATGGACTGGCGATCAAAGCATCTTCTCCAACCAGAAACATTACGATTTCTATAAGTCAGCAAGCTCTGTTAGCTAAAACAATGGGGTCCTACACAAAAACAAATAAAGAGATCTCAGTGTCAGTGGAGTCCAATGTTGTTTTCAAACCCCACTGGCTTTCATTGTGTGGCAAAAACAGTTCTTCAAAATATCTTTTGGTTTCCACAGAAAAAAAAAGACACTTTTTTTTAAAGATATATATTTTCCTTTAAGATCATTCTACTCAAAACGACATTTGTGTAGTTAGTAAGTGTGCTGCAAGATAATTTGGAATAAAACATTCAGCAAAATGTCAAGTAGTTACTTAAATAGAAGTATATTTACTGCAGTGTAGCTTAAAAAACCTGTTGCTTCCAAATTCCCTTCTTATTTCCAAGCGCAGCTTGAGCTTGTGGTTGATTGTGTAAATTAATGTCCATGACCGGCTGGAGGTGGGCGGCCCAGCGGGGTGTTTAGAAGAATGTGCATCTCTCTCTCTCTCATGCACACATACAGTTGCACCTCATTAGTCAGTTTTGGAATAAAACATTCAGCAAAATGTCAAGTAGTTACTTAAATAGAAGTATATTTACTGCAGTGTAGCTTAAAAAACCTGTTGCTTCCAAATTCCCTTCTTATTTCCAAGCGCAGCTTGAGCTTGTGGTTGATTGTGTAAATTAATGTCCATGACCGGCTGGAGGTGGGCAGCCCAGCGGGGTGTTTAGAAGAATGTGCATCTCTCTCTCACATGCACACATACAGTTGCACCTCATTAGTCAGTTAATCTCAGTTCTCATGACTCCTCGTCCAGATTTAAAAGCAATCTGGTGGTGTTTTATGAAGACTAATGAGAGATGATGAGGTCTGTACTCTCTAGTGATGAGCAGAAATCAATGCACATAGAGCAGCAAAAGGGTACAATGGTGATATGGTCAAAAAACTTATGGCAAGATCCTTGCAGGGATCGATCCAAACGCCACACCACCAGCACGCAACTGAAGATAAAGATTTTTTTTTATATGCAGAATGTCATATAAACATGAATAGGGAGAAAGAAACATTTTCCCTATTTTTTTGTCATATTTTTGTCATAAATTCATCTGTCACTTGGTAGAAACAGGTTGTGTGACAGATTCTGTTTGTTTTGGGCTTGTGCAGTTTATGCTAATATTATATTTTCAGTGATTATTTAAGGACACTATCGGTCAAAAAAGTTTGGGGTCAGTAAAAAAAAAAAAAAGAAATTAATACTTCTATTCAGCGAGGATGCATTAAATTGATCAAAAGTGACAGTGCAGATGAATGTTACAAAAGATTTCTATTGCAAATAAATGGTGTTCTTTAGAACTTTCTGTTCATTAAAGAATTAAAAAACAATTATCACAGTTTCCACAAAAATATTTAGCAGCACTGTTTTCAACACTGATAATAAGAAGAAATGTTTATTCCTGCTGTGGTGTATGGGAAGCATTTGAGTTGGCAGGGCACTTCTACACTTTCATAACAGCTTTTTTAAATAAGTATTGTTGCCTGGAAACACATCGTCCTCAAGGAGGCCTGTGAATATAAAAATGTCACTGTAACAATGAAGAGTGTTTTTGTAAGCCATTTGAAAATCACACAATTTTGTCTTAGACCATTAGTCCAGTATCACGGTCTAGTTAAGCTTCATTCTCCATTAAGAACGAGCCATCTGGGACAAATCGTGAATGATTGTTTGATGATGCTTCACAATTCTTCCGGATGGAACATGTGGCATTAGGTTGATACTCAGCTCTGAGTTCCTACTGACGTCTGCCAGATGATGTCAGAGTGACGGATAGAGATCCAGTCATCACACAACACTGAAGCACTTATTCTCGGCAACTGAAAATTAATAGACATTTTGCTTGGAGTACCTCACTAGGGTTCTGGAAGTAAAAATACTTTTAATTTTATTCAGGGATAAATTGCTTTTTAGCTTTAAAGGGGTCATATGATGCGATTTCAATTTTTCCTTTCTCTTTGGAGTGTTACAAGCTCTTGGTGCATAAAGAAGATCTGTAAAGTTGCAAAGACTAAAGTCTCAAATCCAAAGAGATATTCTTTATAAAAGTTAAGAGTTAACCACGCCTACCTAAAACGGCTCATTCTAACACGCCCCCACATGTCTACATCACAATGTGGGAAGATTTGCATAACACCGCCCAAATGTGCACGCAAAGAAAGAAAGCGTGGTTTCAGGAACAGCAGTAGTGTTGATAAAGCCATGTCAGGGAGACGCTGTGTTTCAGTGCGAAAGCAAAAGCACTTTATTTGGCCTTCCGGAAGTAGATGCAATTAGGAATCATTGGTTAAGATTTAGTTACAACAGAACAGCACAACCCAGATGTTCGAATTAGTGCAACGCATTTTATGGGCCAATCACAACGCATTGGATAGCTGGCCAATCAGAGCACACCTCGCTTTTCCGACTGATGAGCTTTGTAAAAATCGACGCGTTTCAGAAAGGCGGGGCATAGAGGAGAAACAATAATGTACATTATATGTGTTTTTTGAACCTTAAACCGCATAAACACATTGCATTACACCAAATACACCAAATAATGTTCTTTTTAGCAACGTCATATGACCCCTTTAACATATAACATTTTAAGGAATACCTACCATGGCATGAGCTCCCAGGTTGTTAAGCAATGGAATATTCTCCTGTAGATGCCATAAGTATATGTTTTTAAATTTTATTTATTCATTTATTTAGCCAAATTCCTGGTGAAGTAATAAGGGTTTTTACTGACTTAATGCCATTTCTAATATTTATAAAGCAAAGTGGCTGATTTCCAGTGTAATGGAGAAATGCAGTACATTTTAATTACAGCAAAAGAGATGTTCACTGGGTTCTTTACATTATCCTATAATATTTACTCAAAATTCACAGTTTTGAAATTCCGTTGATAAGGCTCACAGGAGACTAAAGCTAAAACCATAAAAAATTTATTCATTAAAATAAACATTATCTGAAATAAAATATATATAAAAAAAACTAAAAACTAGTTGCCAAGACAACATTGCTTATTTTCTTTGAAGTACTAAAATAACTTTAAAAAATGCAATTTAATAAAAACGATAAATAAATAATAAAAATATCAAAAAGACAACAAAGTTACTACAACTTAAAGTAATATTAAAAGAAAAAATTAAGCAAACTATTAAAATTTTTAAAAAATATATAAATATTTTTTATTAATAGTAATAATAAAAAATAATATAATTAAAAAATAGCAAAAAATATAATAGTAACACTGTAAATATAGTGTTAATATAAAAAAATAACACTCATCCACAATGAAATCCACAAGCACTTTGAAAGCACACACACACCTGCTGCTGACCCAGTTTCCTTCTGCACCCCACAGGGTGAATTACACAGAAAATTGAGGGATTTATAGAGAATAGGAGCACATATGAAAAAGTATCATTGAAGAGAAGGAGCTGAGATTATGATTGCATCTGTGGACCGATTTGAGTCATTCAAGCGTGTTTGTACCGATGACTGATTTTAGAGTATCTCGAGTGCTTGAGAGTCAGTCAAGGATATGAGGCAGACTGAACTCAATAGCATTGATGTCATTTGGTACTTTTTACCATTGAATGTTTTCGAGGCTTCAAGGAATTTTCAGGTTCAGTACAAGTAAAGCTCTATCAACAGCATCTGCGGGATGCTTATACGTCATATCCTTCAGTTCTATCCTTGTACGTGTGATGTGAAAGTTTCCAGGTTTACTGGCTTTGCATGAACATGACAAGTTGAAAATAAATAAATGGATATACATTAACCTTAATTTTTTAAATATTAAAATCAACATCATTATGAATTTTTAAAGGGGCATAATAATATTCTCTATCTGCAGAAACAACAACACCAATAAAAAAACATGCAGGTGTGGCTTCAGAGGAAATTATGACTTTGAATGAACATCATTTCCTTCACCTGCCATTAACACCTGGTGCACTACTGCATAATGATTTTTAAGGCACATTAATATTCAAACACATGGCATGTGACATGTAGCACTTCAGGGCACTAGAAAAGTTAGTTTGTGCATGGTAATATCATTTGTGTGTGTTTTGTTTTTAATTCTTTCAACATGTATTTTCTATTTTCTCAGCAAACAAGTGCCCCGATCACATAGACTGTGCCAGAAAGGGGCGGCACTTCTGCAAGCCTGGCTCCTCCCACTGTGGCCCCTGCCTCACCCCATTGAAGGAAGATGAAGCAGGACATTGTGTTGCTCGCAGGACACACTCTCCCCAGCACCACCATCACGGTACGAAGGCTTTCACACACCCACCATACCCACCTTCTAGCTACTGTGTCATGATTTATTTTGCAAATATTGTCTAATATGGCCTGTAGTTTGGTGCTCGTCAGACGACACACAACCATTTTCTCGAGCCGAATACTGTGCATTCATTAATCGAACCCTCTGCCTGTGACTAATGCCATGGTGAAAGAGGAGATGATGCTGATGGCTTAGAGCGCAGATCCTCCCATCATCTGGCCTGTGCTTTTGCTCTCGTTTCTCTCCTCTCTCACTGTTTCTATTGGTTTTGTGGTGAGCATAATGCTTAATCTCTCTCTCTCTCTCTCTCTCTCTCTCTCTCTCTCTCCTCGTGTGGCTGAGGCACATGGCTGAATTTAATCAGATGGATTGTAAGCGTGCACGCGTGTGTCTGTGTGCTGCCTTGGCTTTAATGTAATTTCATGTGAGCGCTGCTCTAGCAGAAAGAAATTGCACTCTTTTTTTAAATCTATTGCAATACTGTAGTCATAGGTTTTTCTTTTGTGCAAAATATTTTTTGTCATCTTTAGCAATATACTATTTTTATTTTTATATGTGTATATATATATATTTTTTTTTTATTATATATATCAATTATAATTTTTATTATTCATTTATTAGGTTTTAATTTACTATAATTGCTGAAAATCTGTGAGTCATGCACAAAAGGATTTGAAGCATAAAACCATAAACTTACAGCATAACAGCGTCAGGTTACAAAAACAATAGTTCTTAAGTTTGATTTTTGAAATTAAATATTATTTTAACAATTTCATTGGTCAAAAGACTGTCTAGAACCAAGCATCCTTCAGATAAAAAAAAATTAAACTTCATGAAATTTACTAGTTATGTAATGTGATACAGTATAAATATTCAAAATATGAATATATTAAAATACAAAATGACACTCTTAAGATCCAGAAAAATGTTATAAACTTGTTATTAATGGCTCTGACAACTATAAAGTAGTTCCATGACAGCTTTAAATTCATAAAGTTTTGCTGAAAAATACGATTACATATGGCAATTTCTTTTTAATGTTTACAAGGGTGATAAAAGGGAGTGCCGTTGGTACCAATGTCTCATCTAAAGCAAATTACATTTATTATACATTTTAATATTTATATGATTTCATAAAATGTTTCCATATCTCATACATTTGACAAAACCTCATCTCTTATCTTTGTTAGCCAACTAGCAAAATTTACAGTAAACACAAATGTATCTTCTCTCTCTCTCTCATACTCTGCTCTACCTTTCCTTTTAATGAGTGATTCAGCTCTCCAAACACAGGCCTGCCTCACTGATGAAGAGTGTGATAAAGGGCTGGTTTCATTTCAAGCGATTCATTTGTGTAACTAGAACCTGCGTGTTTCCAAAAATATCTTCAAAAACAATAGCGTTTAAATGCGTTTAGTGTTTAACAGTGCATTTGACATCATTATTGATAAACAGAGATATAATAATGAAATGTTAGCCGCTTTGTATTCTCAAGTAGAATAGTTTTCCTTGATTTTTAGAGCAGTTTTGTCTCTTATAATCTCACCTCTGGCCTTTTGAAATGCTTTACAGGACAGTCTTAAAGATTGAAAGAGCGCAATTAAAGCGATAGTGAATCAATGTTAGACCAAGGTGGAACCTGCTGTTAAAGAGTTTACTGATCAAACAGTCACAAGTCACAAGTCTCTTTGCTTTAATGTTGTCACGAGTGAACAACACTGGGTGTTTTAGAGTTTTAAAGAACAGTAAAAATTCATGTGGATTTTTATACCCCATAATGTATTTGAAATCTTGATTTTTTTTTTCCCGCCCTTGAATTTGGGCCACATTGACAAGGTATTTAACAGCCATCAACTAAACCGAAGCGTCTGCGACTAATCGTCATCCGTCTATGTAGGTCAACAGTCTCATTTTTGCAGCACTGTTTGGACAGAGAGAGACACCGGAGACCAGGACAACAGTCAATAAACACCTCCCTGATTTGATCATATTGACGGAAACAGACTGTCTGGTTGTACTATTTTGGTGTTAAAGGCACAATATGTAATTTTCGCCACTAGAGGGCATTTTTTCCTCCCACCCCAAATTTTTTCACTCAATCTGATTTTTTTGCACCACCATGTCCCTTTAGGGGCTCCGTACGCTTTGGATAAAAAAGCTAAATGCTAAATGACTAAATAAATAAATAAAACTTGCATGTCAGTGAATCACATAAAACATATTTTTTTAGAGTTGATTTGTATTGATGTGTCATCACTACATTGTTGTTTGATTTGAGCTGTCAATCCTCTGACCAATGATAATCACTGACCAATGCACTTAGTGAAGTCGCCACTAGATGGCAGTATAATCACGTCCAAAACGCCTATATATTGCTGCTTGATGCATGTCAGAGCTGTTGTAGCTGACTAGTTATAGAAAGCTGCATGATAAACTAACAAAAGTCATGAGTCAGGAGAAATTAGTGTGTCCCGAATTATAGTATGCCGAAAATAGTTGGAACAGGAAAATTTTTAATATGCTTTTTCGGGAGGGTTTTTGAAGTATGCATTCATGCATTCTTTTTTTTTTTTTGGTTAAATTGCTTGTTTTACATGCAAATTCAAACAGTAAATGGTCTGTGGTATCAAAGCATAATTTTGTGATGGCATAATATGTCTTAATATTGCCATTCTAAAAAAACAAAATTGGTGTAGAAACAATTTTCACTCAGAAATTGCTAATAAATTTCACCGTTACACAAAAACAGCAAGTAACACATTGACTTAAACATGAAATTTTGAAATAGTATCTTCCTGTGATACGCACTCCAATAATCATTTTGTTTTATTTACAGCTTCAAAAAATCTTTTTTTACAGTGTGGATTTTCCCATCACCAGTGAAGTACAGACTTGTAGTGAGCAATAAAAGTATAACAATTGAGTAATCCATTTTTAGATTTAAAATTAATCTTTAAATTATAGTGTTTACAGATTAAATTGCATTTAAAATTGTGGAAATAGTTGCTTTTGTACATCTAGCACCTACTGAGTCAAAACTTTATTGAATTGTTCATTCTGCTGCTCATACATCAGCTTTAGTCAGGCTGGACTGTTTGTAAACACCCCTTTTATGTGTACACCACAGATTTACAGGTCCACTTGTCCTCTCAAAACAAGTACAGATGGTTTGACCCGCCTCCTTTGACACCTGCTGTGGAGCGTGGGGGTGTTCAGACAGTGATATGTGCTGTTCTGGACAGTCTTCTGTAGACTAAACACAAACCTTCATCACAATAAACTTTCTGGCTTCTAGTAGCCCCGGTCTGTAAGTACTTTGTGGTAGAGTGCTGAGGAAAGTTTTGATATTTATATTCTATGTGCAAGGTTGATAATCAACATAAAGTTCTGTATGGAAATGACACTTTTTATCAGCTCTTTGCAGACACATGCTTTGTACCATATGCAACACCTCACCACGCAGTGCCATGGCTGTTCACTTTATGTATGTGACCTTTGTCAATGTGTGTGTTTTAAAGGAAGAGCAAACAAAACCAGGGCTGGGCGATATATTACATTATTTATGATACATTATGATCTATTCAATATTATTTTGTTGGTAATACAAAGAACCTGGAGATATAATTTATTTTTTTTACTATATAAAATCTTAGCACTAAACGACTTGTCACAAGCTGATTGGTTCCCGTTGCATACGCAACCAATGAGCTCGCTGCTTTACATTTAAATGGCCGATTAGCATTCGCTTGAGCATTGCAGCGCGCTTTAGGAGTTCCTCTGAAACCCTCCACCTTCCCCAGCTCCACCTGTATAGATCTGCTACAGGTTATTTTATATGCTATTTGTGCAGCAGCAGTATGTCTTAAATACTCACAGCACCATATCAGCTTATGTATTGGCAGTAGCAAGTTCCTGTACTTGCTTGCAGCAGCAGCAATAATCTACAAATACAGCAATAACCAACAGCAGCAGCGTAGCAGATCTCTTCCCCAAGACCAAATACATTAACATTGTCATATCCATTACCATGCTAAAATCTTCCGAGTGTTCTCATGATAGAAATTGATTTATTCAAGATAAATGACAAGAGTTTTGATTCCTTTCTGTGAATCAGTTCTTTCGGATCAGTTTACTGATTCACTTGTTCAACACTCACAACTCTTTCCATTCTGAACGTTCCAGGAGTTTGTGTTGTGTTCCGGTGTGTAAGAGGTTATGAGTGATCACACACCCCCTCTCATTGGCCACACACACACATTCAGGCTGGTTGTCAAGAGAGATGATCTTCCATAGTCTTGGAATGCAGCTTACTGTCTGGCCAAGCGTACCATTAAACCATGTGCTGCCTTTGTTTTCCGTTTTGAGAGTGTCAAACAAACAACTCTCTGGCACACTCTCACTCTCAGGACACACACAGTCCAGTCATCACACTTCTCTCATAGATTATATATATATATATATATAAGAATATTTACAAAGTTTCATAATATACTCCCAATACAATTGAGGCTGAACTAAGTGTGGTATAAAGTACAGAAAAAAAGTTTTATTTTTTATTTTATTAAAACATGGTACCATGATTTTTGTGCCTGTTCAATGGCAGAACCATGTTTGTCTCTTGATATTTAGTTTTTTTACCATATCACATTCTATCTTTATTTCCACAGGTATTTCCACAGCCTCTCATCCTGACGTTGATGAAGAAATCGACTATCTGTCCTCTGTTATTAACAAGCAGCAAATGTCAGAAGTCAAACAGCCAGGTTTGACCTATCTATTTTTAAAATCTATGTGGTTATGGTTAGTGAGGTAGTGTAGCGGTTATAGTGGTCATGATTCATAGCAAACCCTTCTGAACTTTGCACCGTGTTCGCTCTTTGCTATGTGTGAAGTTTCTGTTTACATGTAGTGTGCTTGGCCAGTGTGACAAATAACGGTACATTTGGATTGCAGAAGCCTTTGCTGCTTAGTTAACAGTGGAAAAATACTGCAAACAAGAATGTAGTATAGTAACATGAAAATAAAAATAAAGATAAAAATGAATACTGTCCTACATCGTATTTGTTGAATCAAATCCAGTACTTGTTTCTTACTAATTTTGCAGTTTTGATTCCAAAACTAGTGGCTGTTTTGCTGTTGGACCGACGTCACACCCTCTCACAAAATATGATTTGCATTTTGTAGTAATTTTCCTTTCAACAACTATTTGTAAGGTGAAGAAGTGTTGTATTATCCCTTCATCACATTAAAAACTGCCACAAAGACATGATTCCTGTCTTCCTCTGAGCCACATTAGAACTATTTGTTCAATTTTCTTCTTGTATGAATGATTCTGAAAACATTATTTTATTCCAAATTCTGATTTTAATATGGCCAATGACAGCAGATGATGTGGACGTGACCTGCGGGTCTTTTACTACATCCAAACAGCAACAGAAAATTACAGATTTTGTGAAAAAAGCATGTTTATTTATAAACTTATTTATGTAAAGCTCTTTGATATTAAATGGAGTATTTGAACATATTTTCAACTCGTGTGCAGATATACACTACCGCTCAAAAGTTTGGGATCAGTAAGACATGTAATGTTTTTTAAAGAAGTCTCTTTTTTAACCTGTAATCCTTTTTTTTTCAGGATTCTTTGATGAATAAAAAGTTTAAAAGAACAGCATTTATTCAAAATATAAATCTTTTCTAACGATATAAATCTTTGCTATCACTTCATTTAACACATCCTTGCTGAATAAAAGTTTTAATTTCTTTCAAAAAAAGAAAGAATAAAAATGTACTGACCCCAAACTTTTGAACTGTAGTGTATATTGTTAGAAAAGATTTCTTTAAATAAATGCTCTTCTTTTTAACTTTTTATTCATCAAAGAATCCTGAAAAAAAGTATCACAGGTTCCAAAAAATATTAAGCAGCAAAACACTTTCCAGCGCTGATAATAAATCAACATATTAATGATTTCTGAAGGATCATGTGACACTTTATACTGGAGTAATGGCTGATGGAAATTCAGCTTTGCATCACAGAAATAAATTATATTTTAAAGTATATTAAAATAGAAACCATTATTTTATATTGTAATAACATTTTGCAAGATTACTGTTTTTTCTGTATTTTTGATCAAATAAATGCAGCCATGATTAGCATGAGACTTCTTTAAAAAACATTACATGTCTTACTGATCCCAAACTTTTGAGCGGTAGTGTATATTTTGAATAATTCTTTGTCATTAAAACCAAAACTTTTTGACATTAGACTGCTTTTGTTGTTTTGATAAGTGTATTAAAGCTGAAATATATATAATTTGAAAAATCTTTATTTTTCTTTATTTATCTTTATTAAAAATCAAATTATTTTGTATTTAAAAAAAACAAAAAAAATAGTGATGGTGAATTTTTAGCATGCCCAAACTAGATAATATTAGTCCTTTTTGCAAATCAGCAGAAATTTTGTTGTTGTAAATTATTTTTATGCCCTTTTTCATTTCTCTCTCTCTGTCTTTTCACCGCTTTAGACTCTCGCTCACAGTCTCCTCCGCAATCGAAGCAGAAGAGTCTGTACAAACCCACAACTGTAGAACCAACGACCAGCGGTCCATTGATCCCAACACACCAGACCCCTAAATCTCCCCAGCCAGTCACAAACTCGTCCGACCGCCACGGGCCGATCATCTCCCCCCACTCTTCCAGAGACAGCCTGCTAGTCTGTATGTGTCACTAGGTTTTTTTCAGATTTTATTTAAAGCGTAATTATGATCAGTGTGTTGTGAGTTGTTATTTTTCTTAATAATTTCAGCATGCTTTGACCCGGTTTCCACAGAAATCTTTCAGTGTGCTATTTTTAATGCCACTTTACCAGTTTTATTGTGGTTTGGCTGGCCTGCATCCCTGACGAAGATGGCATTTTAACAGCAGGCTCATCACATGATGCTACTTTTCTAATTGGCTTGTCCTCAGATGTTAGTAGACTGTGAGCCTCTCTGAATTATATGGAAAGTCTCTGGCATGTGTCAATTTACACACTTCATGCACATGCTGTTAATTGAGAGTGTCCCTCATTTCGATGAAGCAAAATGTTCTGTTTGTGACAGTCCTCCTCATGTTTTTTCTTGTCTATCTCTGTTTCTCTCTCTTATAATTGTGTGTGTTTGTAACTGGGAGCAGTGATGATATCTTTATGCATTATTGTGGGATCCATGGCACTCATCATCGCTGCAGTCTGCTGGGTCAGGTAAGTTTTTTTATTATTATTATTTCAATTTATCAGTGATACAGTTTGTCAGGTCAAACCATGATCATGCCACCATAGTGTGTTTTTAACAGACTTCCTGTTCAATCTAATGAACTAATAAAGATAGAAGCCTTTCTAAATTTCACATTTCAATTTCACTTTTATTGCCGAAATTGTCTTGCATCCCACAATGTACAAAAGAAACCGCACATTAGTGCAATCCAATTACAAAAAGTAAAAATTTATTCTGTGGTATTTAACTATTTTAGGGAAAGGACAACAACAACAACAACAACAAAAAAAAGCCATATCTTAATTTTAATTATTTTGTATTGCATATTATAAATATTATAAATATTTATTTATAATATTTTTTATATTCTGTTTAATATTCTGTGGTGTGGTTTTTCATACAATAGTTTGAATATTATTTATAAATATAAATTATAATTTTGTTGTCAGTGCCACCTTCTTAAATTTAGCAATTTTTTTTTTCCATATTTATATAATTTTTTGTAGTCTTTTAAATAAGAAAAACAAATATTATTTTAGTCTATATCCTATATATGTCCTTTTTATATCATTTTCAGTGCCATTTTTTAAAATGTATACTATAAAATTATTTTATCATTTTTTTTTATTTTTTTTTTATTTAGTGGACAAATAATTTTACGAAATTAGGTGTGTATTTCTTTAAAACAATGTACCTTCTTAAATTTAGCAAATTTTTTTTTCCATATTTATATAATTTTTTGTAGTCTTTTAAATAAGAAAAACAAATATTATTTTAGTCTATATCCTATATATGTCCTTTTTATATCATTTTCAGTGCCATTTTTTAAAATGTATATTATACAATTATTTTATCATTTTTATTTATTTATTTTTATTTAGTGGACAAATAATTTTACGAAATTCGGTGTGTATTTCTTTAAAACAATGTACATTTCAGTGTAAATCGCAGTGTTTTCTATTGCCAACTTTAGCCTGAATTTTTATTTTATTTTATTTTTTAAATTTTTACAGGTTACAGAGAGAAACTCGTCTGGCTCAGAAAGTTGATTTCCCTGCGTTTCATGCTGCGGGCCCCAATCATAATCATACTTCAGTGAGAGCATTCACATTATTCATACAGTTCATACATCGAAAAATAAAATAAACACTTTGACACTTCTTGTAATATGTGTTTATGACCATGTCTTTCCATGTTTTAGTCTGGGGATACAACTCTGGCTCACAGTGCTCAGATGTATCACTACCAGCATCAGAAACAACAGATGCTTTCAATGGAGAAGTAAGCACAATACATGATCACTTCATTAGTTTAGTCACTTTAGCTGCATTGTCTCTTCTCAGCTCTCTGTCCTGGTGATTTCCTTTCCACATTATTTGTGCATTTTTATCGTAAGTCACTTTAAGAGAATGCTGACCAAGAACATGAATGTAAAAATACATATAACGTTCCTTACTCATTTCCTTCCTTCTTATTTGCTTCCACTTTCATGTACATGTATACATGACACTTGCTATGACATTATAACGAAGTTGAAGCAGCCATTGCACTGTGAAAAATATTGATCTACTAAACTTTGCATGTAAGTATCATAAAATGTGTTCTATATTATATCCGTTATAATAATTTTTTTTCTGAACACAGACGTAAAGCAGAACCTAAAGTCTCAGAGTCTGGGGCCTCATCAGATGAGGAGAATGAAGTGGGAGATTTCACTGTGTACGAGTGCCCTGGACTGGCACCGGTGTGTAAACATTTTTTTGCATTTAGCAGCTCTTCAGCATGTAGTATCTCTATTTAGCATGTGTTTCTATGGCACTATTAATACAAAATAAGTGATATATTTTTTATTCTTTAGACTGGAGAGATGGAGGTGAAAAACCCACTTTTTGACGACTCCACCTTGCACTCCCAGAGAAATCACAAGTGACCTGGACACACACACACACACACACACCCCTGCATACTTTTAGAATAGGTCTAACACACCTAAAAGCATTCCTCCACAGGGTGAAGCTGCATCTGTTACACCACACACAAATGAAAAAAGATGACTGAAAAAAATTGGCGCTGATGCCTAGCCCTTCAGAACAAAGTGAGAAAAACACCCAAACTAAAGATACTGAAGAAGAGATGGTATGTAGTCATTCAGGTAAATAAAAGTAAAAGACAGCAGTGGTTAAACAGTTTTTTTTTTTTAACTCCGATGCACATATATGAAATCTGAAAGAACTCTTGCACCGCAAACTCTCAGTGGAAACTCAGACTGGCCTTTTAATGCGGTTTCTTTGCACCACATCTTCATTCTTCAAAACTGGGGTTTGTTTTCTCATCTTTTTTATGTCACCTCCTTTTTAAAATCATTTCTCTTTAGGGTCGTGTTAGGAATCTTTATAAGCATCTTTTTCAGCTAGATGTAATTTTTTAACCAGTCTTCATGTTTTTGGGCAAAGCTGCCTCCAGAAGCACCTCTTCTGATTATTGTGTATAAGAAATACACAGTGGTCTCTCAGACATTTACTGGTGTTATTTCTCTCTCCTTATCCAAATATTATTTTCTTATTGTGGACTTTTGGTTGTCTTTATCTATGCTGATCTAAAACAACAAAATATACTTTTTTTGAGATTAAGAATAGTTCTGTTTAATTAATTTTTTTTGTCTCATTAGTAATTTTTCCTATGCATGTTCTTCAATATGAAGTCTCTTTCTCTCTCTCTTTGCGATCTTTATTTTTTTTCTTTGTAACCCTCAGTAAATATCAAATCCTTTTTATCTAATGATATAATGGTTGTATCAGGAAATTAAATACTAGTTATACTGAAACAGAGAGACGTTGAGGTTCCTGTGCTCAAATCACTTTAGTGTAAATAAATAAACTTAAATGTATTATATATTACTTCCTTAAAGTGTATGGGTGATGATGTTTTTGCATATGAGCTATAAAACAATCATCAGCTGGGATGATGGTTATGATTCAAGAGCTGCTGTTCTGATACTGTTAATACACTAAAATACTGTCTTGTTTGGATTAGAGTTTATTTTTTAATTTTTTAATAAAATATAGTATTGCTATAGACAGCATTCAAAAAGTTTGGGGTCATAAAAGATTTCCCTTATGCTCACCAAGGCTGCATTTATTTGATCAAAAATATAAAAAAAAGAAAAGAAAATAATAATAATAATAATATTATTGCTATTTAAAATAAACATTTTCTATTTTAATATATTTTCAAATGTAAAGCTGAATTTTCAGCGGTGATTACGATAATCTTCAGTGTCTCATGATTCCCCATAAATTTTAATATGCAGATTTTTATTATTATAAATGGTTGAATACAGTTGTGCTGCTTTTTTGTGGAAACTCTGATACTTTTTCATAATTCTTTTATGAACTGAAAGTTTGAAAGTAAAGTGTTTCTTTAAAATGGAAATTGAAATACACCAACATTTTTTAATCATAGTTTATTTCCAAGCAATTAAGATGTTCTGTGTCACATAAATTAAATAAGTGGCTATTCAGAGCACAAGTGTATATTAAAGAATTAATACATTTGACTATTGAAGATTTATATTGTATTATATATTTACATAAAACCTCTCCAACGGATAACCATAAGTAATGAATTATATGTGACATTACAGTAAATTACATCACTTTAAATGCACTGGGGCAACTATTCCATAAATCAAGTTGGATCGTATGGATGGTGTTGCATCAGCTAAATGAATATCAAGGACTGTCAAAAGTGTATGTTTGACCTCAAATCATGGATTCTTCTGAAACACCTGTCAGTGTCTCATTTCTGTTAACGTTTGTTTTAGGCTGGAGCTGAAAAAAGCTTGTTCTCTGAAAGAAACTGAAGCTGAAATGTTTGTTTGTCCTCTCCAGCTCATCCATCTAAACAGAATGTGGCAAGAGGAGACACGACCTCCCCCAGTAAAGGCTCTTTTCTGCGATGGGCCACTTAACTGCCTCATAAGGTGTGGTTCAGAGGAGCCCATCACAGATCCAGCCTCATTGAGGTGTCTGTGGGGGGAGAGCCATTAAAGGCCATTGTAACTGTGAATGGTGAGGAAGGCAGCCATAGGCCACCCGATCAAGATATGTGGGGAGAGAGGCAGTAGTCATCAGCAGGGTGTCAAAAGCAATCAAAAGGCCATCGGACCGATTGTATAAGTGAATGGGGCAGAGGGAAGAGAGGTCACATACCTGTTTATCAGATACTAAAACCTCCGGGTCAGTTTTATATATGTAAGAAAAAAGTCATTAAAAAATCAGACACAACCAAACCAAACCATTTTTTTTTCATGCTTTGGGCCTACATTAAGTCAGATTAATATATATAAAAATATCTTTAAAATGATCTTTAATATGACATAAAAATACATCTCTATAGTATGCTATAGCATGTAGTACACAACATGTTGTCTATGGTTCTTTTAAATTATTGTCTAAATATTGCTGCTGTCGTTATTATTCAGAAGGCTACAGTTAACCGCTGAGAATAGAAATAACACAAATCAGCTTCCATATTGGTTTTGATAGATAATAATTTGATATCAGTGATATTTTAGTGTCACTGAGAGACTAGTACGGTTTTTGTTTGTTTGTTTCAGTTTTACTTTTGTGTTTTTCATTTTTAGTCTAAGCATAATTTTAATATTATTATTATTATTTAGTCGTGTTTTTGTCATTTTGTTAGTTATTGCCTTTTTATTATATACCCAAAAAGGTTTTTTCATTTTTATTTCAGTAACTATATAAAATGTAAAATGTTGCTTTGGCAAATAGTTTAAATAAAAGAAGTTCATTTTTATTTCAGTTGTAGTTTTACTAACACACCAAGTAACTACATAAAATGATGCTTTGGCAAATAGTTTAAATAAAAGAAGTTCATTTTTTTTTGTTTCTTTTGAATTAAGCCAATGTTTAATTAAAACATTTTTATGGTGTTTTTAGTTAATAACCCCGTTTCATACTTGCCATGATATTGGATATAAAAGTGATATCAGAAAGCAACTGAGAAGTTTAAAACGGTAATTTTACTTAACTTTTTCCTAAATGTTTTGATCAAATATGTATATGGGTTGTTTGTATAGACACATGTAAGAGCTTCGTGTTTGCTTTCCCTGTATTTCCTTCCTCCTTAGATTGTGATCTTCAAACACAAAGCCATCATTTCATCTCAACTCGTACTTTACCACATATACGCCCTTTTATCAGCAACGACACTTGGTTCTCGCATATATAATCTATAACTCTGATCCAACTGATATAGACGTAACCTTCTTCTGAAATGTTCCAGAATGCATTACATGTAAACAAGGGTGGGGTGATGCTGTTGCTCCATATTACTGAGCATCCGGTTCAATAATATTCAGTAATATCACTGAATAATGAAGCTAAGAAAAGTTTTGCCGACTATAGATTTTACAGTACACAAGCCTGCTAAGCAGAGCCACCTGGGAGCCTAATCCTGGTTCTGCCGTCCCTCACTGGGCCCATGTCATCTCTTTCCACTTTCTCCTTCTCTGTCTGCACTTTACATAACAATCCCCACCCAAGTCCATGGGCCAGCACAATGCCTGCAGCAGTGGTTTGATGTCTTTTAAAAGCTTTGACTGGCCCCAGAGGCCTCCTGTGTGTCCTTTCCTAGGCTTTGTGACCAGGAGAGATGGACAGCTCAGTTGTAACCTATAGCTCATGGTCTGCAAGAGTGTGTTTGAAGGCAGGGGGTTGATTGTTCTAGATTTGAGTTGGCTGTGCTTGTGCTGATGGTGTGTGATGCTCAGGGTGGGTGGTGAAACATCGGGGAGATTAGAATGGGAATCAAAGCAGATTGCTGAGGTATATATGCTGCCGTTCAAAAGATTGGGATCAGTAAGATTTTTTAATGTGTGTTTTTTTTTAAAGAAGTTTCTTATGCTCATCAAGTCTGCGTTTATTTGATCAGAAATAGGCTACAGAAAGAAACAGTATATTTACTATATAATTTATTCCTGTGATGCCATTACTCCAGTCTGCAGTGTCACATGATCTTTCAGGAATCATTCTAATATGCTGATTTATTATCAATGTTTGAATGTTGTCATTGTTTTGCTTAATATTTTTTTTGGAACGTGATTCTTTTTTAAGGATTCTTTGATTAATAAAAAGTTCAAAAGAACAGCATTTATTTAAAATAGAAATCTTTTGTAACAAAGTTCAAAAGTCTCAGCACTTTTTTTTCTTTCCTGTTTTGAAAGAAATTAATACTTTTATTCAGCAAGGATGTGTTAAATTTATAAAGAATTATAGTAAAGACTTATATTGTTAGAAAAGATTTATATTTTGAATAAATGCTGTACTTTTTATTAATCAAAGAATCCTAAAAAACGTATGACAGGTTCCAAAAAAAATATTAAGCAGCACTTATTATTCTAAGAACGATAAAATATCCAGTTTTTCTTCTTTTTTTTTTTTTGTAATTAGAATGTTAAAAGGTTATGCAAAGCGTTTCTTAGAACATATACAGTCGTTCTGATAAGATTTTCTCTCAACATCATGAGAACGTTCAAATAACACAATAATTACATTCCGAGAATGTTGTCCTAAGAACGTTTTCTCTGAACTTTATGAGAATATCAAATATTAATAAAGTTATAAGAACGATACATAAACATTACTTTGAGAACATTTTGTCCTTATATAACTTTTAAACGTCTGTAAAAGTTGTGAGAACGTCCCAGTTAGCTGGGAAGGTCCTAGTATTTTTATTTATTTATTTCGGAAAGACGTTTAGTCAGCTGAACATTTGGTATATTGTGAAACAACAGCATAGCCTACAATCTACTGAAAACACTGTACTTGTGTCCCTCACAGCCTCGTTTTCGTTCCTGTCAACAATTAAATAGCCTATGGCGCTACCCTGACTAAGGTTTATAACAATAAGACTCCGGTATGTACATGTTTATGCTGGAAAGAGACTTTGGGATAGTGTGTCCGTGAAACTTTGCCAAGTGTTTGTTTCAGAGGAGGGGGTAGGGGTGGAATCAAAGGGTTGCGACTTATTGTTCAGTGCTGAAAGGCGGCTAATGGCCGGCCATCGCAACTCTGGATCTGAAAGCGGCGGGAGGCCTCGGGCTCTTCTGGCACAATACCTCCCCCATCCACTTTCATGCGGCGCGTCTTCCTGCCGCAATCTGCACCGATCGGCTCTGTCGGGGGTGCACAGCTGTATCGATGAGTCTGCAGAGCTCTTCCAAACTGTAAACAATGTGTAATGAAACAAAAAGCATGCTTGCCAACTGATTATGCGTTTAAGCCTGAACGAAGCTTGCGCTACTTATTATGTCTGTATAGTGTAGGCTAAATATGTTATTTTATATTATTTTAAGTCGTCAAATTAATTTAACCAATTTCTATACTTAATTGTTTAATATACCAAATTCAACTCTTTTTTTTTTTTTCAGGTTAGTTTAATATAATTTGAGTTTATAATTTAGCCTCTCCAGCTAATAGGATTAAAAAGACAGGAGCTAAACATTTTTTTTACAGTGCACTAATAAAATATAAAGATAATAAAATAAAAGTCTGCTTAGAAAATAGTCTTAAAATCAGGGAGAAAATGCTTTTTTAATTTATTTGGTATTTATGTTTATTTATTCATTTATTTTTGGGTGGGTGCACGGGGAGGAATGAGCGATATGGGAGCACACTTCTGCATTTTGAATATCGGATTATAAAATGTCATAAATGTAGGATTTCACACCATGATCTGAGACAACTTTTTTATAGGCTACATTATGCGTTTCATTGACTACTGTGTCTGAATTGTAATTGTGCGCATTTATTATTTTCTTACCATAAGCCTAACATTTCGTTGCAAGTAGTTTTAAGCGTGTAGCCTAAAATTATTATTATTTTCGAATTAATTTCTTATTGGTTAAAACTAAAGGTGAACTAAAATGATATGTTTTTCCACATCACTGCAGTATTAGCCTATTATTTTTATTTTCAAAATGCTCTTGCATGTATAAACGGCTCCTATCAGTGATTCAACAAGCAGCGGGAAGGTGGGAGATGTGACGCTTGTAATCCAATTGCTTATCAGCAACAGACAAACATTTCACCTTTTATTTGTCTCTCTTGGTCAAATAGAACAGCAAAAATACACGTGAATGCAGTTTTACCGATTATACAGTTTTATGATATATTTTGTTTTATTAAATAAAAAAATTTTTTTTAATGACGTGGTAAACGGAGTTTAAATGTAGCCTATAAAATGTCTCTTAAAACTTGCTGTTCACTTCGTGAACAAGAAAGTGGATTTTCCCACGGATGTCAAGAATTTCAATATCAAGAAAGCTCATTAAGTGCATATTACTGAAACAAAGTTTACTTAATGTGGCTTGAATATAATACACACGTGAATACGTAATTCTGTTTGTATTGTAAATACTCAACATGCATAAGAGAAAGCTTAGCCTATTATGCATTTCATCTTATGAATTTTCAAAGGTTTTACTGAAGTTAAATATTTATTGGGAGTAAATGTATGATTTGTGCACTTTTGGAAAATGCAAATAGCCTATATACAGATACACCTCACATTTCCAAAGACGTCCTCACCCAATGAGAAAACCAAGTTCATTCACAAATTCACCGTCAGCTGTGGCTTATTGTCTCAGGTGACCAATAGGAGAGGAGATGGTTAAGACCCCAGCCTCCAACTCCGATTGATTAGGAAAACCTGTGTGGGCCAGGATCAGAATTGAGATTGGGAAGAGTTGGTGTTGGTGAGTTACTAGCCGGTTCTGAAGGCCTAATTGATGGCCGTCACACAAGGACTCCGCACATTTCCACACAGGCTGATACTGGCACGCACAATCTGAGGCTTCGAAATCTACTTTGTTTTAGTAAGTTTGGTAATTCTACAAGAAAATCCTGGCATGGAGCTACTGATCGCCGTTTGTTGATTATCAAACCAACAGCCTCAACGCTTTCTTGCTTAAAACCTAAAGAAATTTTTTTTTTGAGAAGATGACGGAGAGACCACAGAGCCCGACAGGAACGGACTGCAGACCCTATGAAGTCAACAGGGCCATGTACCATCAAGCCCAGGGCCTGGATGGACTTGGCGGTGCGTCCTTGCAGTTCGCTCACGGCATGCTTCAGGATCCAAGCCTGCTTTTTAACAAAGTCCATTTCAACGGAATCAACCCTGTGACACACCAAACTTTCTTCCCATTTTCAGGCGATTTTAAAACGAACGATCTGCAAGGCAGTGATTTTGCGCACCCCAAACACTGGTACCCGTTTGCTGCACCCGAGTTCACCGGGCAGGTCGCGGGTGCGACGGCAGCCACCCAGCCGGCGAACATCAGCCCGCCTATCGCTGAAACCAGGGAACAAATCAAGATTCCAGCTGAGATAAAAACTGAAAAGGATGTTGATGAATACACCAATGAAGAAAACAAGCCGACGTCACAATATAATCTCACTCCCGGGACATCATCCGTACCCACCGGGGTGAATTATTACACACCCTGGAACCCCTCGTTTTGGCCTGGACTATCTCATATTACGGCCTCCGCAAATATTTCTCAAGCTCCCCCGACTCCCTCCGCATCATCCCCATCTCTGTCTCCATCTCCACCCGGAAATGGGTTCGAAAGCCCGGGCTTTTTCAACGGAGGTTCCGCGCAAAACATCCCTTCGGGTCAGGCGCAAAGCGCAGCCAGGAGCAGCGGCTCCTCCAGTGGAGGGTGCAGTGATTCAGAGGAGGAGGTAAGGCTTTTGACCTAAATTAAAGGTTAATTTATTTACCTTTGTCGTTTTTGGGTATAATTTAACAACTTTCCATTTTTAGGAGAATCTGACTACGGAAGACTTGGAACAGTTTGCTAAAGAGCTCAAACACAAACGCATCACTCTGGGCTTCACGCAGGCAGACGTGGGGCTCGCGCTGGGAAACCTGTATGGTGAGTTTCAGGTCTTTGACCATTAGGGCTATATAAATGTATGAATGAAAATAGTTTCAAGCTAACTGTTTAAACCTTTGTGTTTTTGCCTAGGCAAAATGTTCAGTCAGACGACTATCTGCCGCTTTGAGGCTCTCCAACTTAGTTTCAAGAATATGTGCAAACTGAAGCCGCTGCTCCAGAGGTGGTTGAATGAGGCAGAGAATTCCGAAAATCCTCAGGATGTAAGTACACTACATTACTGTAAAGTGCGCTCAAAACGGCGACCTCTGTCGTTGAACCTGATACTATTTTACCTCCGCTCAGTCGCCTGTTTACTTGTACACGCGGTGGCTATGTTTGGAATCCGTGGAGTCGCTATGGGATTGTGGGCCCATTGCACAAAATTTGCTATAGGGCCCCCTCAAAATCACATTCAGTGAGGGGGGGCCTCTGGGCCCTAGACACTCTTTCCCCCTTTTTCCCCTCTGTTGCTATGCCCATGTTTGAAATAGAATACTAGCCTAGCCTTTTATTACGTGAAACAGTTGAAAAATGATCTTATAACTGCTATTAAATACTGTAGTATACGGTGAGCTTTTCAGGTGTGATACATTAGACCATTTCACACTTCCATACTGTATACTTTGTGATATCACCATTTATTTACCTCCGAAGTAAACAAAACTGATTTTATTAAAGGTATTTTTATTATTATTATGTTGAATGCATGTGTGTATATATAATGCAACATTTACTTTTGCCTCAGCCTTCAGTTTTTTATTTATTTATTTATTTATTGCTATTCAAATTAAACTTTTGGGCACCTCAGCTGTAGAATATCAAGCTACAAGACAACCTGCAAAAAGAGTTAATTATGTAATACATATTTGACCGTTCAATACAGTGATTGAATAGTGAGCATAAAGTGTTCCAGAAATGCTTGCATAATTGCACATTGTATAGTTTTGTTTTAAATCTCTTATTGCATACATGTAGAACAAGTTTGTCTCTCATGGCCAATTTTTCGATATCTTCCAGATGTACAAAATTGAACGGGTGTTCATTGACACAAGAAAAAGAAAGCGGAGGACCAGTTTGGAAGGCACAGTCCGTTCTGCTCTGGAGTCGTACTTTGTGAAGTGCCCCAAACCCAACACTCTGGAGATCACACATATATCTGATGACCTCGGGCTGGAGAGAGATGTAGGCATGCCTCAAAGTCTTTGGATTCATCATATTTAGATCCGTCAGTGCTTCTAGAACCCATTTGACCTAAACGGTCTTTTTTTTTTTTTCTTTTCTTTCTCTCTTTCTTTAGGTAGTACGTGTGTGGTTCTGCAACCGTAGACAAAAGGGGAAACGTCTAGCGTTGCCATTTGATGATGAATGCGCTGAAGCACAGTATTACGACCAGAGTCCACCACCTCTGCCCCACATGGGTGGCACAGCCCTCCCAGGGCAAGGCTATCCTGGACCAGCCCATCCTGGAGGAGCCCCTGCCCTATACATGCCTTCCCTCCACCGACCGGAGGTCTTTAAAAACGCCCTGCACCCTGGACTGGTTGGTCACCTCACCAGCTAAACAGGTGCTTGCCAAATTTTAAATAGAGGTGCTCCAAGCCAAGCTATGGATCAAATCAGCCATATGATTTATTTTTATGTAAACCTTGCATCTGTTTATTTGGTTCTTTCCATATGTGCCTTGTGACGCTCTGATTGTAAAGTGTCTGGTTTAGACTTGACCTTGTACACTAGCAGCCTAATGGGTGCCTTGTTGAACTAATGCGTTTGCACATGAAGTCATAGGTTCAGATACGATTTTTATAGTTTTTATGACTTTTTGCTCCTGTATCAATTTTTAATGTACATATGTTTGTCTTATTCAATATTTGATGATTTCCAAAGTATATTTCCATATTTGTCTTCATACTTTGTAGTTTTCCCGCCACATTTCTATGTGAACTGGCAGCAAATTCAAGACTTAGATCTTGTATTTTGACTAATTACTTGATTTTTAAAGAGATGGATTTTTTAAATTATAATTTGGAGACCTTTTTTTAGATGGTTTGCAAAGGACATCAGTCACTGTTCTTTTTTTTCTCTAAATGCTTGCACTCTCCCATCTCCAATTGGAAAATAATTCTAGGTGTAATATCTTTTTATCAGGGTGATTTATGGATGAAATTTGCTGCCAGTTTGGAAGCCTATATGTGGAGGTCGTGTGCCTTATCTTTTTGGTGTGTTTATCATGCATGCTCATCCCTATGCAATGTAAATGAAAGCCATATTTGATAATTTATTGAAACTCTGCTCAACACATACAATATCACTGGGTAGCAATTAAACCATTTCCATTGACAGTCACTACTTGTTTGTTTCTGGGACTTAATCAACCTGTTGCTCTTAACACTTGTTTTACAGATGAAGTATCTTGGTTTAAAACGGTGTTTCAGGATCCAGATGTTTTATTGTATATCGACTGGCGATCCAACACCGAACCAAAATCTAAACTGACAATTCACTGCAAAAAAAAAAAAAAAAGCATGTTTGATATGGCGCAAACTAACCAAAAATGTATGACCCACCAGTTTTAAAAAAACCTATTTTATAATTTTGCTGGTTTGCTTGCAAATATTTGTTCCGACCTTCAAGAATCCTTGTACACAGGATATATAAGCATGTTGACAGGAGAGGAAGCAAGGTTTGCACATTGCGGTTTCAGTTTGGCACCATGGCCCCAGCAGCTTGGATAGCAATAGAACTTCTGTGTTTTTATGCTTGCACAGGTGCACACCAATGCGTGATGCTTTATTTATACATAAATGGTGCTGCTGATGCTGTCAGTATGAATTCAAATAAAATATTGCGTCATGTAGCCTGTAAAGTGCTTAGTGGCTATTCACACAGAACGTTTTTGCCTTCCACTGCACTGCTTTCCCATTGTTTTTCTATGTAAGCGTGTGCTAGATGGACACAATTTTGCCCATTGTGCTCATGTTTTATTCAGCATTTTGCGCATTACTCGAAATGTGCCGCAAGTTAAAAAGTTCAACTTTTAAAAAAGCATGTATTTAGACTTGGCTTTTTTTCCCCATTCCACTGTTCTGCGTTTGGCTGTTTTTAAACTTAAAAAGCATCCTGTGTGAATGGCCGCTTTGGGACAACTCGCCTAGAACACTTTTTCGCGTTCTACTGCACTGTGTTCTAAAAATGGTCTTTTGATACTTCGGTTTTTCACCTTGTGACTCACGTTTTTGCGTTCCGCTGCACTGTTTTTCCACAGATTTTCTATTTAAACATGCTAGACGGACGTCTTTGCATTCGCATTTAGCATGAGACATCATTATAAAAACGCAGCTCTCAAATAGTCTACACCGTGCTTTTTTTTTTTTCATTCCACTACCCTGTTGCTTGTTTTTTGTGCATTTTTTGCTTTATGCTGCTTTTCAATTGCATTTCTGTCATGCGCTATTAGACGTCTTTGACTGTTTGTCTCCCATCTTTTGCAGCATCTCACCAACGACATGTTCTAAAAACGCAGTGCTCAAGATAAAAGTTCCACTAAGCATCCCCCCCCCCATTGCACTACCCTGTTTCTCGCATTTTTGCTTTCCACTGCGTTGCCTTTCAATTTTTTTTCCTATGTAAACATGCTCTAGATGGACATCTTTGACCTTTAACCATGCTTGCATCTCGCAATTTTTGAAGCACTAGTGTTCCAAAAATGCAACAGTTATGTTAAAAGAAGTTCAACTTAAAAAAAAAACAAACGAACACCCATCTCTAGAACTTGTATTTTTGCATTCAATTTTTTTCAGTAGTTTTTCTATGCACGCACTAAGACAAACGTCATTGAACATTGCGCTCTTGTCTTTCATCTTTTGCAGCATTTTGCGAATGACCATATTCTAAAACCAGATCTCTCAAGCTGAAAGAAATTCAACTTTTCGAAAGTCTGCAGACTTTTTTTTTTATTTATTTTTTTTTATGCTAAAACGTGTTCTGTGTGAAGGGCCCCTTAAAAAAACTACCATTTTGCCCATGCTCTCAAATCCTCATAAACCTTTTGAGTTGGAAGTTGTCCGTATATGGGACAGATATTGCACAATCGTTCTCTCCAGTCTGTATATAATTTGACCATATAGTCTTGCCTCCAGGTTAAATATGCATTATACTTCTCTGGATCTTTAGTTAGGCCTCTCAAATACTCAGCCAGGGCCTTAATTGATTTAAAATCATCCACATGGATGAAGGAATTCGGAGGCGCCACGGCTTCATAGTCTCTGCGTGGCGGTCCCAGCACCACGGGCACGGTCCCAGCCTGGAAAGCGTTTCTCCAGAGCTTCTCAGTGATATATTGCGGAGACTGTGTGTTCTCAAAGGCTAGGTAGAAATAACAGCGTGAAATCGTTGGAAGCAGCGCCTCCTTCGGTAGAGGTTTTTTGGCGGAAAGGCCATACAGTTGCACATTGAGGTTCTTGTTTAGCTCCTGGAACACTGCGCTCCTCTTGTGCCGTTTTTGGTAGTTGCTAACCACCCAACAGGCGTCATAACTCTTGTTTTTTGGGATAACTAAGTCTAGACCTGGTTTCTTTCTCTGTAACAGCTTCCCATAGGGCACAGTGATGTCAGCATGAGAGTGATATGACATGGTAAGGTTGAAAAGGTTGTTGTACGGTGACCAGTTGCTGTTGTTTTGTGGTGCTTCTAAAGAAAGCCATACCCACCTCTGTTTGGCGGGCCGACGGAGATGCACTGGAAGGTGCTGTTTATGCAGCTTCAGCTCAAAGTGATGAAAGACCACTAGATCGGCGCTCTCATAGAGAGTGCGATTGTCCACTAGCACACATCCAGAGATGCCGTAGTCCCTCAGACACACGTCCCCTGCAAGGCTGTACCGGGTGCCGTACGGCCAGTGCCATAACAGGATGGTGATATTATTTGGGAGTGATACATTGCTGCCATTCAGATGTTGTGGTTTATTAACCACCAGCAACCAACTGTAGATAAAGCTGATGGCCAGGAATAAAACAAGCAGAGTCTTTGAGGGTTGCAGATGCCTTTTCCTCCACTTTGCGATACATCTTCTGCTGGAGCCCATAAGTGTGCTGTGGAAGTAGCAGAACTGGGCATTAGTTTGTTGTTTTATTATATTTTTGTTGGACATCATGCAAGGTCTTGGCCTAAAACTTGTGGTTTTGTCAAAGTCAGTATCCATGTCATTTTCTTCCTTCCTGTAGATGACAAGTGGAGTGACCAGTAGAGGGTGTGTCTCTTCATTCAACCAGAATCCCTGGTTCGCTATCTCGCTTTCTATGTCTTTCAGTCAAGAAATTGTAATGCCATGCAAATGCTGTCAAAATGAACACAAGCACATCAGGAAATAAAATTTTCTTAGTTTTTTTTTTTTTCTTTTCTAAAAGCCTAATTAATGTGGTATCTGCAAAAAAAGTTCAGAATAGCTCTTGCTACACAAAATCAAATAGAACACAAAGTACTTGTGAATCAGTGTTATTTTAGTATTATGTATAAAATTAAGGTTGAAAAGGTTGTTGTACGGTGACCAGTTGCTGTTGTTTTGTGGTGCTTCTAAAGAAAGCCATACCCACCTCTGTTTGGCGGGCCGACGGAGATGCACTGGAAGGTGCTGTTTATGCAGCTTCAGCTCAAAGTGATGAAAGACCACTAGATCGGCGCTCTCATAGAGAGTGCGATTGTCCACTAGCACACATCCAGAGATGCCGTAGTCCCTCAGACACACGTCCCCTGCAAGGCTGTACCGGGTGCCGTACGGCCAGTGCCATAACAGGATGGTGATATTATTTGGGAGTGATACATTGCTGCCATTCAGATGTTGTGGTTTATTAACCACCAGCAACCAACTGTAGATAAAGCTGATGGCCAGGAATAAAACAAGCAGAGTCTTTGAGGGTTGCAGATGCCTTTTCCTCCACTTTGCGATACATCTTCTGCTGGAGCCCATAAGTGTGCTGTGGAAGTAGCAGAACTGGGCATTAGTTTGTTGTTTTATTATATTTTTGTTGGACATCATGCAAGGTCTTGGCCTAAAACTTGTGGTTTTGTCAAAGTCAGTATCCATGTCATTTTCTTCCTTCCTGTAGATGACAAGTGGAGTGACCAGTAGAGGGTGCGTCTCTTCATTCAACCAGAATCCCTGGTTCGCTATCTCGCTTTCTATGTCTTTCAGTCAAGAAATTGTAATGCCATGCAAATGCTGTCAAAATGAACACAAGCACATCAGGAAATAAAATTTTCTTAGTTTTTTTCTTTTCTTTTCTAAAAGCCTAATGTGGTATCTGCAAAAAAAGTTCAGAATAGCTCTTGCTACACAAAATCAAATAGAACACAAAGTACTTGTGAATCAGTGTTATTTTAGTATTATGTATAAAATATTATAGTATTTATATTTTCAGTTTTCATTTGAATTTTAGTTTGTTTTAGTAGTTTGTGCTTTTGTCATTTTTATTGGTTTCTGTTTAGCTTTCATTTATATTTCAGTTTTAGATCTAGTTTTTGTACTATTTTAGTACTTTCAATTAGTTGCCAGGTATTTTTTTTTTTTTTTTTTTTCAAAAGTGTTTGTTTGTTACCAGTAATCACTGTTTTGATGGGGGTACCCTCCAAATGTTTTAAATCAAGTACATTCAGATGAGATAAAGACTCTAGTCATGTTGTGATTAGAGTCTTTAATAAAACATGTATTTTATATCAAGCAAGCATATCATCTCATATGGGCCACACATGACACGCCAAACACTTTGGTAATTCCCCTTTCATCAGACACTTTTGCACACAAATTAATAAATTAATGCAACTGCAAATATTGTACTTCTAAAATAGCTTTGATAAATGAAAACATTTACTTTTGTGCAATGCTGTCAAAAATACTTGGTGCACAAATTTTTTTTTTCTTCTCATTTTTGTTTCATAAACATGTAGCTGTGGCTGGACCGTAAAGGATGAAGATCTCATTCCAGCAAAAAATAACAAAAGGTATTGCACTGACAGTTTCTGCTGAGAAGATGCTTTGTGCTTCAGGAATGTAAGAGAAAGAACGTAAAAGACAAATGCTTGTAGTAAAAATGCAGAAGATCTAAAGAACATTACAATCTAAAGCACATTAAAAGGTCAAGGGATGGCAGAATTCTTACCTGTGTCTTTGGGGAACGTGTGTTTTGGTGAAGACCGCTGCTGTCGAGTCCCTCGAGAAAAAGTTGCGATGTGGAGGCTTGTCCTGTCATTTAATGATGGAAAGATTTGCGCAATGACTCACTCTCGTAGGAAACAACTGCTTCCTGTTAAGATCACTCTTATTTTATGTTCTCCATTTCAGATGTCTTCCCCTCCCATTTTGCATCGCCCCTTGATCATTAAAGCATCTCACATGACACATTTCCTTGTTAACAGGTCAAGACTGAAGAACACTGTGTTGCCTTTCAATGCAACATACTGTCTAATAAATGGCTGCTTGATGTTTACTACCTGTTTACTACTTGAATTTACTACAAACCATGGCTGAAAGAGCAGGACGATTGAGAAACGTGGCATTAGCTTTTTCAATTCTGTGTGTATCAGTGCATGTATCAGTGTCTGTTGTGGTTTCTGAACTCTGTGCAGAGGGCACTAAAATACTACAGGAGGAGGAAGTGAGTGGTTACGAAACTTTTTGCTTCACTCTCACACATTCATCCTCTCCTTGTTGCCGCCCTGTGCCTTTATTTAAATAGAGAAGTGAAAAGTGACACTTGCAAACCTTAATGTATAATGTCCCCCAAGAAAAAAGAACTAGAAATATTCTTATAAAGGCAGAAATATGAGTAAAAACAATGTGATATCACTGTTGGGCATGCATGGGGTCTTTTGAGTTTCCATCTTATAATATATAAAAAATAAATTTATAAACCAAGAGAGAGACAACGTAAAGAACAAAACTTGCTGGATAATGACAATTTTCTTCTGTAGTGCTGCTTTATAAAACTCATTTCATAATTCAATGAACTTTGCGCTATTATTGAACTAAACTGAATCATCACTGAACAGGAAAACTATGTTGCGAGGTGGTGATTTCGTATGAATTCATATGAGGTGAATCACACACAAATATAAGATTGTCGAAAAAAGTAACCATAAAGGCCGTCCCTAAACATAACTTTCACATGGGAGTTATAAGAAGAGATCACAAGAATTCATATGAATTAGCCTCTAATAATTAAAACACAAAATATGATTGCTAAGTTTGTGTTGTATAGTTGAACCGATTTTGCTTCATAATTAAGGAACTTGGCAACATTCACACTATTATTGAACTACACTGAATCAATACTGAACAAAACTGAGTTGAATATTGACACCAGTCTATTTAGTGCTGCTTTACTGCTGAAATTCTATTTTTCATAATTGAAGAATTTTATAACATCAATAGGCCTGTTGTTTTCTTATTACTGTGAAGCTGCTTTGAAACAATCTGTATATAAAGCACTGTACATAAATGTGACTTGACTTAAAGACAAGAAAACATTAGATGAAACGCTCTCAACTCTTCATATTCATGTTATTAGTATTGAAAAGTGTGTTTTCGGAACCCTAATCACTTATTTTTTACTCTTGCTTTAAACAGCAGACCAAGCATTGCATCAAAGACCTACTGAAAATATCAGCTGAGCCCAGCATGACCTTTTAGAAATGCTAATGTTGGTTGACCAACATGTTCTCTCTGGTGAATGTGGTTGACCAATGCTGTCTTGCAATTTTGTAGTCAAAAACTGTGTTGTCATCCTCATTTCAAATCTGTATGACCTTATTTCTTCTGTGGAACATGAAAAAAGATATTTTGACAAATTTCATAAAATAAAATTCAAATGTTGTTTTTGACCCCACTGACTTTTGCATGGGCAAAAACAACTGAAACATTCCTCAAAATATTTTCATTTTTGCTCCACAGAAGAAGGAAAGTCATGTTCTCATTTTGTTTTTGCTGTTGTATGTCAGAATGTCATGTACTCTAATGTTGTGCCTCAGAGTTACATTACCCAAACTCAACACTAGATGGAAGTGTTAATTTTCTTTTCTTCTTTCTTTCTTTCTCTTTCTTTCTTTTTATTTTTAAAAGAAAACACTAAAATGACCCTTGAACTCTCATCACCTGATTAAAGTGTATTCATTCACAAAACAATGTTTTTAAGGTAAGGTGGTTTTTTTTCCTCTCAAAACAATAATTTCAGATGTCTGAACAATCAGTTTCTTGTTCACATCAGATTTTAATTTCTTATTGATATAAGCAAATTGCATGTGTTTTGGCACATGCATGCATATGCACATGGCTCGTTGATCAAAACTGAGTTGATTCTCAATTAAATTGTCGACCTCTTCACAACTTCTAAACATTCTTTCATCATGTGAGCCATCATATGCAAAATGATCCATTCACACATGCGTGCATATTCCATAAATATCTGACATGGAATGGTTGTAATGTCTGCTAAGTTGGCAAATGGCTTGCCATTAGGTTTGCAAAGGGGCAGAAAATTTCCGGAAAATTTTTGGAAACTTTCGGAACGTTTTCAGAAATTTTCCAGAAAATTTAGACCCCTTTGCAAAAACGTCACAACCCTAAACAGCAGCAGCTACAGCAGTACTGTAATACATTTATATTTGTACAGTAGATTTATCTGTAGAAATGTGTTACATCATGTAAACTGAAAATTCACAGTTGCTTACTGTGGAAGAGGAAGATGTAAGAATCTAATGTAAAAATGTCTCTGAATGTTGATTTAGAATATTACAAGTTGTAGTGGAATTTAAGTGAGGAAACGAATATCATGTCTCATCTTAAAACGAACATAAAACAAACACAACAGAACTATATAAAGGCTTTTTACGTGAACACATTTAAACTAAAAGATTAACACTTTCATTAATTTAGAACACTATTCCACATAGTAAAAACCAGGGTTGTGGACTCGAGTCACATGACTCGAGACTTGACTCGGACTCGGAGTCCCAAATTTGATGACTTGCGACTCGACTCGACATAATTAAAGAAGACTTGAGACTCGACTTAGACTTTGACAGCAATGACTCGAGACTGGACTTGGACTTGAGCCCTGTGACTCGTGAGACACTAATTTGGGCAAAGAGCACTAATGACTTGTTTAAGACTTGAAGCTAAAAGTTGAGGACTTGCAACTCGACTTGGACTTGCCTGTCTTGACTCGGGACTTGACTTGGGACTTGTCTGTCTTGACTCGGGACTTGACTCGAGAATTGAATGCAAAGACTCGAGGCTTACTTGTGACTTGCAAAACAACGACTTGGTCACACCTCTGGTAAAAACATACATGCCAGCTATACTGACCTGATGCATACATATAGCTGAAGGCTGACTGATATCGTCTTGGTCTGGTCTGGACTCGACTCTGGAGCGAG